CGATACAGAATAACATCTAAAATTGAATGTCACGTTTTTGGTATCCGACTATTTGTTCAATTGAAAGATCTTTGTCTTACTGCCAAATGAGAGAGTTATACGATAAATCAACAAATCATTTATCAATTTCACTAAAACAATCAAAATAACAATTTAGCGAATGGATTATTGTGGTTATTTTCACAGGTGTCGACGCTGTCATTGTGCAAAAATTCAATGAGAAACTAAAATGTAATTGGTTAACCATATGGTCTTTGTTTCTTTCTTTTGTTTTCATGTGCGTAACAATTTCAAATCTCATTTCGAGATGGAAAAATTGCAAATAATCCGAATTTATTCAAAAGTATATATTTTTTTCTACAGTGATCACCACAGTTGCTGCTTTTTTACGTCATGGGCCTCGGAAAATACACTAAATTTTCAGTTCCATGATGTAATTTTTTTTAACTGAGACATAATCCCTCAGTAGATTTTTACCACACACCAGAGCACAAAGAGGAGAGTGGATGAGAAAGGAAACCCGAGATGAATTTCGCCTTGAGATCAAACAAATGGAAACTTCAATCGAATCGGTTTTTACTCCAATCAAGGAGTATGAAAAAAAGGTTTAGCTAATCAAACGAATAACCAAAATCTTTTTATTTTTTCTTTCCCCCATTCATTTTCCTCCCCCTCTATATCTCTCTCTTTTACACACACACACACATTTTCTCTCACTCTCACGCTCTTTTTTTAACCGAAAAAAGGCGAATTCGTGACAAAAACTCATTTGGCACTCTGTTTCATTTTGATTTTTTGCCTAACGCCTTTAATAAGTATCATATGAACAAGACGATAAGTGGATGTTAACGAGAGGGAAAATAGACATTTTCGTGAACTAATTTAACAACAGTTTAATGCGAATCAATCCATTGCTTTACAATAATCCATTAAACATGTTTTTGTCTAGCACCTCGTAAAAACAATTAATGAGAGCACATTGATTGAAAATATATCGATTGTAAAGTCGGTGTTTTAATGCAGATCGATCAGTCGTCAACAAAACGATAACAATTGAATTTTACGACATTGACATGGCAACCAGTGTACATTGATTTGGCAATTGCTTTAAGAGATGTGCTGAATACCAAATATAAGCGAGTAAATAATATCTCAAGATGCCTCTCTACAAGTAATAAAATTAAAATTGAGAAAGAGCAATTAATGCTCATTCAAGTGTGTAACACACTATAATCCTGATTGAATTAAATGATTTTTTAAGCTAAATTTTTTCGATCGTTCAATCGATTTCCTCATGATTTACGATTTTGAAGAGTAATCTACTGAGTGTAAGAAAAGAGATAGAAAAAAAACAGTAAGCATTCATTGAAGCATTAAAAAAAATCCGGTTAACACCAATTCTGTACGGTAGCACATTTTTATAGATTAGTCATTATTCGCACTTAGCTACGATTTAGTTATGGATAATGGCTTCTCTAATGAAATTATCATCTGCATATAATTCGCAATTCAAAGTGGCGCTGAATTTATGTCAGTAGGACAGCGGCACACAATGAATTGAGAAATTGAATAAAATTCATACCGACTCGATTCGCATTAAATCAACCAACTATACTGGCGTCATCAGCAGTGAAACGATTGTTCATCTGTTTAAACATTAAAAACACAATCGTTAATTACACTTACTACGAATTCATGAAGATTTCGATTGCCTTTTTATTTCACTTGAAGTAATGATCGAATCGAAAATAGTTCTACGCACACCGAATTATTCAACATTTCGGCGATTCGTTGGTAATCGTGCCATTTACAGAAATTTGTTTAATCATCGAATTGTGAAATATTTTACAATCACAAACTGCATTTGATTACCTCATAAAATTCATTTTTGTTCATAATAAACAGGAAGGGAGCATTAAAATTGTTTTTAAAAATGACTTTTGTGAGAAGCAAAAAATGAGAGTACATTTGAATGAATCACATTTTTTTGCTATGTGAACAGGGCTTGATTAAAAACAAACGCCTATGAATAACGATATGCTGACAATGGCGATGTAAATGATGGCCCCATTTTACACTTTTCCCTCTTTAGATATTTATATATTTATTTATTTTTCTAGTGTTATTAAATTTATGGTACATTAAATTGATGAAAAATGATGTTTCTCATGTAGGGATTGTTTCGAAAATGTTGTTATTGAAACGAACAGCCAACGCAAATGAAATATGTACATGTATTTGAGACCATCTCATTCATTCTCACAACGGGAAGGTATATTTCCATGGCAATAAGATTGATGTATTTCGGAATCACTCAAAGCTCTTTGGAAAAATCAAACTAAAATGTGATCGCATTCATAGTCACCTTCATCGAATAACATTTAAGATCTCATTTACTGTTTTCTCTCTTTTGCACTCCGCCCCCTCTTCGTATCCGAAATAATTCTTTGCTTCAATGCTTTTTTTTCTCTCTTGTCGTGACTTTATTTGTGTTTACTGTTTATAAATGGGTTCACCCATTTATTTGGTGAGTTTTCGTTATCCTTGCGTTGGTAGGGTGTCCAACAAAACTCTTAACAATCATTTAAAAATAAAAATAAAAAGTCATGTTTGCATAGTTGTGCGTAGTGAATATGTTATACTCATTCACGTTTGTTTGTATTAAATGCGTCACCAAAACAATTTGCACATATTCAATCAACGTCACTAAACTTTACTCTCTAAATATTTTGCAATCTTTTACGATATGGAATAGTATGGGTGTTTTTCTTTTCATTTTAAATTTCATTTGCTTTGCGTTGTGATAGTTTGTGTTTATTTTTTTATTTTTTTGGCTCCTGTTGAGCAGCGAACCAGTAAAATACCTGTTAAGTGGATTATTTAGACGATGTATGCGTATGGATGTTTGTTAAAAAGTAAATCGCAAACATAAACTTTCATAGAAAAAGTCACATATAACGTGCATTAACACCATCTGAACTTTGTGATGTGTACACAGTATTGGTGGTGCTTGACGAGTTCATTATAGTTGTTGTTTTTATTCATTTTACTTTTTTTATTCTTGTTTTTGTGATGGAAATATTGTTTTTGAACTCTACACTCTAACGCAGATAGTTCTTTTTTTTTTTAAAGCGTTCAAGTAACTTTTTGCGCTATCAAAGATTAGAGAAAAGGAGCACCCATTATCTGAAATCACTCCATTAAATCATTTTGTATATACAGTTTCATCGAATGAAATAAAGTGTAATCGTAAGAAATTTATAAATTGGGTATCCATTACAGAACGGGGAAAAGCGAATATCAAGAACAACCACCAACAAAAATGTGAAGAAGAAGAAGAAGAAAAGAAATGTGTTGCGCCCTCGTCTTTTGTCAGATTAACGAAATGAAATTGCTTTGTCCCTATTTTCAATCTCATCGCTTTCCTGCACTCCATGTGCCTATATTTATGCGTTTCGTCTTTCTTTCCTTTTCTTTTCTTTTCTTTTCTTTATATACATCATATGTGCGTGTGTTTACTATCCGCAGGCTTGCTAAACCATTCGGTTGTTCCATTCAAAAGAGCTTGGAATTCACTCTAAATTTATGTGATGGCAAATATAAACACACATTCAATGTAACGACCTAAGGCTTTGCGATCAAATAAAGCAATAATACTAATCGATTGCATTGTCAACTTTGCTCGAGGTGTCGAAGCTAATTGCTTATTCTGCCCACGTTAACTAAACGATTTTAAATTGGAATGAGAAATACACGTATTTAAAAAAAAAATGTTTGCTTCTTTTGTCGGCGACGACGCCGGTAGATGAACACAGCACCAGCAGTTTTTCAGTCATATCAAACACCATATCAGCAATCGAATTACGCAAAACACTTTGAAAATATCATGCGATACTATTTCAAAATGATTTTTTTTCTCGAAGGGATGAAAAACATCTGGTTTCTGGTGGCAAAGTATTATAAATATATATTATGTAAAAAGAATTGACTTGTTTTTCGATACATTATTAATTATTGATATCCTAGAATCATGTTTTTTTTTCGTTTAGAATAAAAAAATTTCTTCTGCAAAACACATAAATGTTGTGAATATGTTTACTTGGAACCCTCCAGTGAAAATCCATACAAGACTTATTTTAAATTTTAGATTTCTGTTTTCTTTTCGCCCCATTTTACCATTCACAACACATTCTGCAGCGCATCGGAATTTCCATAAGTTTTGTTGCTTCATGTTCTTCTACATAAAATCATGTTTGACGCACAAAACCATGAACACATCGACTCGTCATAATGCTGGCAGCAAAGTAGCAAGTGAGCAAGTACATGAAGTGAGTAACTTGATTGTTTACATGTGATTGCCAAGAACCATTGAACGCGCACCATATGTTTTGAACTGTTGCAGTATACAGACAGGTTCATAGCATAAAACTATGATTTCTGATGATACACTCTAGAACCGACAGCTATTCAGCTCCGACAATTTCTACATCATCATTATTTTTCTCTCTCGTTCGGTTGTGTATGTGCCACCAAAGAAATGAATTGTTTAACATTGCATTCTATCTATCGACCGAATTTATGGTGGCAGACGAAGTTATTTGGTATAATCGTATTTAAAATGTTGAACCATCTCGAATATATATGTAGATTTATGTATGGTTTTTTTTTCGTATGTTGTTATCAATGAAATAAATCGTAAGTGCACATCTGTTTGAATGGGGATAATCATACTATTATGAGCATATTGTATCGATTTCTTTGTTTGTTTCACTCTTGAACATGAAATGAAATATTTTCGCAATAAATATATTGATTTGATCGAATTTGTTGTGTTTTCTTAACAGTTTTTCACATTTTATATACGTTTTAGTTATAAATTGTGAATCTGATCTTTTTAATTGCAATATATTGGATATCAAAAGTCGTGCCACATAGACAAGTGTACACATATAAATATATTTTATTTGAATTTGGATTTTTGTTCACGTTGAAATGCATACCTTTCGTTTTGATTTGGCCATGCGTTGATCACGCGAATTTTCCGCCTCTCCTGGTGGTTTTTTGCCCCATACAGCAAACGCAATTCGGGTGTATGTGAATATTAGAACCAGCAATGGAATGATGAATTGTAAAACTAATAAGGCAATTGTATAATAATAATTATACAGTGGCATCGCCCAATGCTCTTCACACACGTATCTGAAAGAGACAATTACATTTTAATATGGAGCGCATACAGTTTTGAATAAAAAGTAAATTATGCGTATATAACAAGAAACGCAACAAAAATGAAACAGAGAGAGAGAGAGACTAGGAATAAAACAATAAAATGAAAATATGAAAATGTAATTAGTAAATATTTCCATGGTGAAATGACCATATTTGTGTGTGCAATCATGTAAAAGGCAAAATGCAATTCATGAAAAAATAGTCAAAAGTTATACATGCAATCCTTCTCTCTCTCTCTCTCTCTGTCTCGCTAAATGCGTCTTTTTTCAATGCTCTTATTAAATTTTAGTTGTTAATAAATTCACCACACACCAGTTCCATGAGAGTGGATGGCATGTGCAGAGATTAATTATACACATTCACAACTATTCTCGCTATAAATGGTTAACAGACCGAATCAATGTGCCAAATTAGTGGTTTCAATGATGAAGCATCAAGTTAAAATCGAGAGAGAAAAAAACACGAATTGAAAGCACCTATATGGCACAAAACAGCCTATATGGCACAATAGTCTCGATATATATACAACTACCAAGCATTACAGGCTGTTTGCGTGAGATACGTGACGAATTATCAGTCAAATTCATAAGCGAAGATTCGCTTGTCGTTTTTGTTGTTGTGTAATTCAACACGCAACACTAGTTGTGCAAAACTGACATTAAACCAAAATTCATTTTCCAGAAAAAGCACAAAAGGGTCGTGCGTGTCTGGCTAAGTGTAATATATGTCTAAAGTGTTGATATTAAAGTGTACACATGCAGTAGCATAATTTTCACTTGCACAATCATTATATGTTGTACAGCATCGTTCCAATTTCCTCGTGTCCGTGCCGTTTTATTTTATTGTTTTACTAATTCATGGACAGTTTAGATTTGATTCAGTCCATTCAGTCACTGGAAAAACCGAATCAGTGTTCGTTAATGTACACCGATGTACTGTACTGTGGGTACCTGCATCGTATTTATATAAGCGGTTGTGTTTTTGTGCTAACACATATCACTAATTCCTGATTAATAATGAAAATTCAATCGAAACGTCTATGATTTTTGTATATTGCTTATCAAATTCTATATGTTTATTATTCACTTTCATCGTCAAATCCGAAACCATATTTGATACTGACCGTTCCCATTGTTTTATATATATAAGCATACATGTACATTTACCATCGTCATAAATGTATGTTTCATTTTATGTTAAATAGTGATATGATGAATAAAGAAAATTATGATATCTTACTTTCCGCATTGTTGAAACCATTCTTCCGGTTGGCTAAGACGAGTTACCAATGGGATTGGAAGTGCTGTTACCAGTGCGATTAGCCACACAACACAGATGATATACTTTGCGTGCCTGAAAATATACAATAACATTCATTATCAATAACTACCAAAATGCAAACATTCTTTATTGTTTTTGAAGAAAAAAATTTAACATCAAAAAGATGGAAGCACATGAAAAAGGTTCGTCCACATTGATTAAATATTGAAATGTAAACTTATTGGATACAAGATTATAAAAAAGGGAGAGAGAGAGAAAAAAAAATTGTTTGCATTTAAATTGAATCATAAAAAATACATGAGCGATCAATTTGTGTTTGAATTTGTTTGTTGAAAAAATTTGTCGGAAAATGTTTTTGGGTCAAAAGTATGAGCAAGAATGTTTAAAGTGGAATTTAAATTAGTGCAACTGAAAAATTCATTTTATTTATGGTGAATATATTTTACGATTCCCAATCAAATTGATTTCAAATGATGGTCAATTGTATCTTCACCCTGCTCTTTTTCTTTGGCGCATAAAAGTGTATTTGGTCTTTAGATGAAATCAAAGAAATGTAAACTACTTTTCCCGTGTTGTTCAAATGACACTCGAGAATTGGTTAAGCAGCTGTATTTTGTTCCTCTATTCCAAACAGCACACGATGTATGCTGTGATTTTTGTGTGTTGTTTGTTACGAAGCTTAAATTTTTGATTGAACAAATCCGAAGTTATCTTACGAAATCCAAACGAGTCGTTTGAAACGACAACATCGTAATCAATGTGGTACAAAGTAAATAGTAAATGTAATTTTTTATTTGAGAGTATGGGGTATGAGACGAAAAATGGATTCCATTTCGGTGAATTTGGTAAATTTAATCCATAATAATATACGGTGATGCTCTGAAATCGATATGTGTGGTAAAGCTTTTTAGCTTCATTATACGGCATTTTGGTGACCCTTCTTGTTTATAATCAATTATTGAAGAAGCCAAATTGAAAGAAGAAGAACCAAAACGAGAAAAAAAAATAATAAGAAGAAGCAGATGAGCACAATGAAGTCGTTGTGTTTGTATAGCAAGCAATGAGCACACTGTATGTCTTGTTTTAACAAATTTTTATACGGAAATATTGACTTTATTTTACTTTTATTAAGACAACAAAGGAAAAATAAATCGTCTTATTGCAAACAGAACTTTTTTTTTCTTTCGAAGTGGTTATTTCTTTGGTAGAAAATATATGCAAATGAAATTACAAAAATTGAAATTATATTTTAATATCTTGTGACGACAAATTTTTGATTCGGCAGGTAAATTGAATCAAACGCACACAGAAATCAGGTACGAGCACATCGAAACAAATTCACTTTTATGGCCATTTATGATGTTACATTCATCTGCTGATTTTTTTTTGTCTCCTTTTCTTACAGGAGCTAACGAAAACGAAAGTTGTGAAAATGGAAACAGGCATTATAATTTTTTTTCTTTTGTTGGATTAACGCACGACCAATTTTCCCTTCGAATATTTCTTTTGTTTTTATTTTCCCTTTGGTGCTTACGTATTACTTCACGCCATCCCCCGGTGCTTACGTATTACTACACGCCATCCCCCCACCCCGCGCATAAGTTATAATACATTCCAATCAAATTGTGCACATTTTTCGCATCTTAATATTCATTTTCGGTTTACGTTACATGCAGAAATCGCCCATATTTTCGCGAAAATGTGTCTTCAATGAGAACATCAAAACAACAACAAAGTTTGAATTATTTTGGGATGAAACGGCTTAAATATGCCAAAATCAGAGTAATTTCTAGCTGAACGGAGAATAAAGGAACCACAGCAACAACAACAAAAAATGAGAGAAAATCGTTTCAGTGTTATTATTGTTTTCATTTTCAACAAGAGAAAAAAAAAAGAGAGAGAGAGAGGTGCCTTCAAATGAAAACGACTCAAATGATATATAAATCAGTAATCTATTCGACTGAGTTGGCATATGCCATGGAATTACGTAGAACAAAAATCGTCGCATTATAGCTGATATTTGAAGAAAAATTATTTACTTTAGATCGTTCAAAAAGCGGAAGAACGAAAGAGAGAAGAATGATAGCAAATACGGAATCAAGAAGAATTATGCTTTGAAAGCACACGACGTGTGGATGAACATAATTTATTATTCTTTTTTTTTTGTTTCAGTTATTTGCTTGGTTTCATCATTTTCACGATACTCATTACGAATGAAAAAAAAATCTTATAATCCATCCACTCAGTTGACTCTAAATTGTGTGTTTTCCTCACCAGGAGTGAGTGAAAAAGAGAGGGAAAGAAATGTTCAAGATTTTTTTTTAAACTAGCCAGATTCGTGAAAAGTTTTACTAACAAAGTGTCAAAAGTTTTATTGTTTATGATGTGCGCGCTTCAAAAAATATTCATTTTATGCGTTTAAAAATGCGGCACAACAATAAAAAATTACCACTGCCATCGAGCATATTATTATAATATTGTTTTTTTATCGCATAGATTTCCTGCGGCCAAAGTGTCTGTGCAGCCGATTCAGCCAAATTGTGCTGAAAATATTGTACTGAACGAAAACAAAAAAATCACGACATTGAAACGCAAAAAAATGAGGAGGTCCGTGTGCAACGGGAAATGAGTTTAATTACTATGTAGCCGTTTCAATGCTCATGAAGCGACAGTGTGGCGTCTTAAATACTTTTCTAGCATATTAAATTGGTTCGCGAAATCGTTTCAGAAGTAATTTCCGCCAAACATTCGAAAATTAATAAAAACCAAACATCTGATTGCGTCACGAACGGTTGAACTTAGCACAACGATTTCTTTTTTTCTTCTTTTTGAATCGTTTATCTTGATGATTTAGTTGATATGATTTGCTTTCATCAAAACAACATTGAAACAAAACATTGGCACGCGGAAACGATACGAAACATTTTATTGAAATCGTAGAAAATGTTCGATGGATATATTTATGTATTTGCCATGTGGTTTGATGACGATCATCAAGTCATCAATGAATATAGGCAAAAACGAGAATAAGAAGAAGAAAAAAAATGAAGAAACATCGAGAAAGAAAAAAAGTTCGCAAACAACTGCTTAAACTTGAAGCTTGTAGCATCTTCAAGTGTTCAACAATAAAAATGACTTCCAGTCAACATCGTTAACTTTCTGCAAAAGTTTGGTGTTCGATTGTTTTTTTTTCTCTCTCTCTCTTTCTCGATGTGCCTTTATTGTTATATTATGTAACTTTCGTGGATAAACATTTGTTTATCAAACTACAATGTGTGTTGCTACGACTTTTGGTCGACCCCTTTTTTTTGTTGGAAAAAGTAATACATGCGTTAAATGAACTATAGGTTATTTTTGAAACGCGTAACACAAGTACGTATGAATTTATAGCCGTCAACTCATATAGTAAGATTATATTTATAAGCGCTAAGTGGATTGTTGGTGGTTTTTTTATTATTTGAAGGGACACATCGTTCTTTCATCAAAATAAATAAATTAATAATAAATTCTAATTGACCACATGCTCCAATTGACATACTACGTATTCAACTTTTTTTATTATTCTAATTGATTCGATGTAGATAAAATAAAAAGAGATAGGTACAATGAGAAAAATACTAAAGTTAAGTACTTAGCTATTGTTTTTGAACATAATATATAAGTTTTAAAATTCTTGAATTATTCGTCAGCCCAATTGACGTACAAAGTCTATTGCAGATCGTATGCTCGTCATAAAGTTTACGTGAAAAGTGTTAATTTCGCATAATTTATCAAAATTTAAAAGTTCGATATGCATGCATGTGATGAGATGAGCATGATGTGATGACAACGAAGTCAACAGCAATGATGACGATGACAACGCTGTTAGCTTTTTCCTCAATCAATTTGTGATATGTTGGGAGAATTGCGTAAAATGTACAAGCATCAAGTGGGAGGAAATAGCTTGAGAATATATTTACATACATTAGGTGATGACAAAAATTAAGAAGTAGGAAATAAAAACGCTTTCGCATTACGCGCGAATGGGATGATACTCATTGAAATGACTGGTAAAACAACAGAGACCAAATGGAAAAAAAGTGTGCTGCGTGAATATTGTATAAAAAATTGCGTCATTCTAGCAAGTGATAAAATATGGAGGGTTGATATAGGATAAAAATGTTTCAGTATAAGTTGATGGTAGTGCCCGCGTTGTGTGTTTTTTTTATTCATTTGATATCATTGTTGATAATATTATGAGTAAGTAGCGCAGCATGTGTGTAAAGTCATTCATTGTATGATACAAGCTGCAATTAGCAGATGTTTTGAAACTCACATAAAACGTGTATGGTGCAATAGGGTGACTGAATTATATTCAACCAACATATCTTGCTAATTTTCCAAACGGCCCTGGATATTTGAGAATAAAAAGGACATTTATATTGTCTTAATTTAAGAGGGATGCTCTTCGACCCTTTTCATCAACGGCACCACACATATTGTGTGGATGTGGCAGCATAAGCTTTTATTACGATCAAATCATTTACTTTATGAGTTACTATTCCTTTTTCGCTTCCTCGCTCGAATAATCCAATTGAATGTGTACAACGATGCATGACGATATATATATATCCACAGCACATATCATAATGCGGTCAGCATATTGTATACGAAAAAGAATAGCATTAACATTCAATCTTCTTCTTTTTGTTCGACGATTTTGCATCGTTGAATTTTCAAGTGGAAGGTCAATTGAAAAGTCACTCACGTGCATTGAATCTTTGAATGAGTGCGGTTTTTCATCCATTCATGCATTCAAAATAATATATTCATTGGAAGTTGATATATCCGAAAACCGAATTTCGTTTTTGCTCACATTTATTAATAACAAAACTAATATTCGAAATACAACAACACTTTGCACGTATCCATTCTTTGTGTCATACACATTTGACATCATTTCGTTCTGTTTCGGGACGTGTGCACACAAACACACACACTCACACACCAAATTAAATGCGTGATGAATAAATCTATTTAACAGACGGGAGAGAAGAAAAAGTTTTTTGAGTAAATATCATTCGGTGATATTGTTTGTCACCCTAACGCGTGCCAACATTTGTGTTGCGTCTACGTGCACTTTTCATGTTTCAGTAAACATTCGCTTGCTGATAGACTTGATAATGGGTTTGCACACTTTTGCTATACAAACATTGAGCTTTTTGTATTGTATTTTCTCTCTCTCTCTCATTCACTGTGTATCTTTCTCTGCAATAGTAATACGAGCAACACCCACGGTGGCTGCGCCACGAAATCCCATATAAACTACCGCCGTTTGAAGATGATTTAAATAACTTTGAAATGGAATAACTATAGTGTTTAAAATGAACTCCGTCTAAAATCGATTTCACAATCTATTGCTCATACCGCTGATCATAATTTACAAGAAGTTGAATCTTGCGACACTGAAATGATATATTACAAACACACGATGAAAAGGGTAAATTGAAAAAAAGGAAACAAATAACCAAAACACATTGAACAAACTTTAAGCACTTTAAAACAATGGTAAATGGCAGTGTACGATGGCAAAATATGCTTCTTTATCTTATGTTACGTTAGAAGTTTAACCATAAACAGTAAAAAAAAATTGTATCGAAAATTGGCGGCAATTTTATTAGTCATTTCATTACACCCGTTGAATGTTTATCTTTTCACAATCGATATGGGCCACATTACAAATACACCCACAAGATGATACATGTGAATTTGAGTCCCCAATCGAGTATATATAGATTCTATTAAATTTTATTGTCAAAATTGATTCGGTTGGAACAGTTGATTTTGAGTGAAAGCTCTTTTGATCAATCATTTCAAAATTAATGAAAAAATTGTTAATTTGATCAGAAACGATTCACAGGAAATTACATTCATGAAAAATTCAGAAGAAAAAACTTCGACTTGAAACTACAAGATACCTCTAAAAAGATCCACCCAACCGATCGAATAATCATTGAAATTGATTGAATGTCATCAATTTTTAAATATTTTCTCTCAACTTTTGTAAATATACATTTCTTCAGTAGTTATCGATCATTTTAAATGATGTTCCGTTAATTTTGATACTTGATCATTTCTTCCAGGCGTCTAATATTTACCCTTTTTTTTTTACTTATTTTAACTTTTTATCAGATGAGCAATCAAATAAAAGCACACCATAGGCTTGTCGGATTTTGTTCCTCTCTGAGACTTTTTTATCCAATGATTGAAATTTGATTTTACTACAATCAAACTAAAGCTAGAATTTGAAAATAATATGTTTCTCTCCAATGTATCTGCATCTTAAATTTGAGTTTTTGAAGTGAACACTAAAAACAAAAAAGAGTCTCAGAGAGGAACCAAATCCGACAAGCCTTATTATTCGATTATTTTTTGCCAAAAGTTTCAGGTAACAAAATTGATTGCCTTCCGAGTTTATTCCATCCCTCTTTGCTATTCAGTTAGTTTTCCATAACATTTCACATCTTTTGAATTATGGATTTTAAATGCAAATAGTTTATCCAACATAAATTGAATAGGCTTCCGGATAGGATGATTTCAAAATTGTGCACATAAGGGTAATTTACCGAATTCAGAAGGTTTCATTTTTAGCTTAACACTTCAATAAGTTTTTCACATATTTGTCAATTGTATCCAAATTCATCTTAAAATCAACGATTTCTACGTATTTTCTACGATTGAAGATTTTTAGTATGAAATAAAGCTCGAATCTACTCGATAAAATTGTTTGGTAATTTGAATTGGTTACCTATAAACTAAGTGCTATAATATCTACATCTTTGGCAATTACAATATTTTTGAAGCTTCAATTCTAAGCTCGATAATATTTTGAAAACAAAAGTAGTAGACTTTATCCGAATATGAATTAGATCAGAATTGGGCAGCTTTACCCTTATATTTAATCTCTTTATCAAAAAGATACAATCATCTATGGAATTTAAGAAATTTTTTTCGTATTGCGATAAAAACATGTGTGAAGCAATGGTTTTTCTTTTCTCGCATTATACAGCAAAAATAAACATGTGCATGTTATCGTTGGCAGTCTCGTAAACACTAAAATAAAAATATCTGTTTTCCAATTTTAATTTCGTTCTCGTCAGAGAATGATCTGATATACACCGCAAAGCAGCATCCAATTCATACAGTGTGTACGATACGGTGTTGATAATATTTTTCATTTCTTTGCTTCTATGAAGACAGCACAATCAACATGAAAATTATGTGTCCCAAATGCATAAACATGTGTAGACAGAAAAGAGTGATCTGAGATCCTGAGTTCATGATGGTACAAGTAAATAATAAAATTCGTTCATATTGTCGCCCAATTTCCCCGCCTCTTTCATCGAATTAGATGGCATACGGTTGTCTTTCAATTGTGATGATATGCTTGGTGATTGCCTGCATGATGTTTGTCTTTCTGACCTGTATTTGTACACATCATCACCATATTAGCAATAATAATAACAATAAATGAAACGTTTCTGCTAATTAAACGATAATATTTTGGTAATCATGCGCGATGGATGGACTAATAAATTTAAGAATTATAAATAAGCTTAAGACCATTGTTCGTTAAGTTTATCTATTATTTTTGGTTGTTGCTGTGATAAAAGTAAATCGCATGTTTAACGACATTTTGTTCAATATATGCGATGGACGCATTATGTATGTACTTATTTGGTCACAAACACTATAAACTGAATCTGTTCAGTAATTCCCCGCCGTTGTTATTCGTCACTCAAAATAAATGAGAAAATATCATTTTTATTGTGGCAATACAACGAAATACAATTTCGGTATTCTTTCTTTCTCTGTTTTTTTTTAACGCCAGATTTATTAAATGAACTCAAGCAAAATATTACTCATCAGCACAAACAATAAATCTGTTTTTATTTTATTCAAGAACTTATTCTGTCATACCATAACCAACGAAACAAAAAAAAAACACACACACACAGTGAATGAAATGAATTCCCTGCGCCGCGTGGAGACAAGTCACGTCATTTTACTTTTATTTTATTGTCGCCATTGTTATTTTTGTTGGCGGCGGCCATGCAATGCAAAAATGTGTAGGTATGTATGTGTGCTAGTCCGTTAACTCTTATCAAAATTACATTAACTTTTATGATTTGACTTTTTCTGTGTTTCTGAATGTCGCGTTCAAGGACACATTCAATTAAAACAATTGGGGGGTGATGGTATATTTTTGCATAAAATTCATGCTTGCTCACATTTTTGATGACACTTGGTTGACACTCGGAATGAGCCAAAAGCACCATCGTTGTCGTCGACAACTGTGCGTATGTTCGTTCGCAAGCATTCTCTATTCCAAAATCAAATCATCCATGCACAAATGATTATTTCTCTCCTATAATTCGAGTGGAAATGTGAATAATTTTGATTGGAAATTCCATCCATTTATAGTCATTTTAAGCATCCAACTTATTAATTATAATGGAATTCACACTTCATAGCTATTGAATGTATTTAGAGTTGTTTATCTTTTCGTTTTCTCCTAATTTTTTTATTGTGTATTCTTCACAAATTATTATTCATTTGGTCAATTTTCCCAAAATAACCGACCATAAGCTGAAACGACGATTGTGGTTCTTATTTTGTGTGTGTGTGTATATGGATTCATTAACACCCATTTCGAAGACGAATTTTAAAACAAGGAAATGAAAATAAAATCATGGCATTTTGGCTAAGAATAAATGTGATAAAAAGCCGCAAACGTTTTTTTCAACGAATGAAGATGTTGTCTCATTAAAATATATTACTTTGTGTATACATTTACGCAAGCATTTACGTTTATAATGCGATTTTTATGGTCGATTTTATTGGCTGGTAAATTTTCTATTTTCAAAATAAATAATATCGTGTCCCGTGTTATGATGAAATGAAATGAATATTTTGGATAGGAAAAAGCGTGAATATTGTGCGTAGAATAGAAACAAAAATGTAAATCAATTTTTCAACTTACCGCTTCGTAATTCGAGGCCGTAATGGCCATAAAATAGCTATGTATCTGTCGATGCTAATTGCGACCAAGGTGTAGGCACTTACGAGCACGGAAATCGCCTGAGAATAATTAACCAAATGACACAGCAGTGATCCGAATGGCCAATATTGCAACAGTAATGTTGGAAAAAATGAAAATGGAACGCAAAACAATGACATCAAAATATCACCAACCGCCAAATTTACAATAAAATAATTGGTGACCGTTCGCATTCGTGGCGATGAATATACAATGTAACATACAACACCATTTCCAAACAATGCAAATATAAATATCGATATGTACATAATATAAACGGTTGTTTGAAAGAATATACTGTCATCCAGTTCATCTTTTTCACATGCTGATAAATTAAAGTTGTCGGAACGATTTTCGGCGATGAGTTCGTTGTTATACGGATAGGCGGCTGCATAAGCATCGGTTGTAAAATTTTTGGCCATACGAAGCATATTGTAAGACCAAACAGATGGCGATTGCGTTGGTGGACTTATTTCTTTATTTAATGCTGACATTGTTCTACTGATATCCATTGCTGTTGTTAATTTTACTCTTGTCTATTCTCCTGTTCACTATGCAATCTTGTTCAGCTTTTTTTATATTCAATCATGTATTCAATTGATGCCGTTATATTCGTGCTGTTATGGCTTGGTTGTTGGTTTTATTCTTGTTCTTGATGGTGTTGCTGGTTTTTCTTTTTTTATATATATACATATATATATTTGATATCACAGATGTTTACAGGCGATAATATTCCTGATGACATACGCTTTGTAGGAGACAATGAAATTTTAATATTACACCATACTCCCTCTATCTCTCACTCTATTTCACTGTGTGAGTGTTTGGATCTTTGAGCTTTCAATCATGTAGATATATATATATATACACTATGAGTACACCTCCGAGTACTTTTTACTGTCAGAAACAAATTGAACAGTTTTATTTTTCTGACGATATTGTTGTTGTTGTTGTTTTCTTGTTGTTTCTCGTTCTCTTTGTCAACACGGCTTTGGACTTTTAATCATCGACCGAATCATTTTGGTTTTCACATATATTCACTGTCAATCATCGTTTCTGTTCAAAAGCACTGTTTCTCACATTTTGTCACAATGGTCCGTTTAGCATTATTTAATGTTCATTTAATTGAGTGGTTGGTTGTTCTCTTTCTTCTTCTTTTTTTTTTCTTTTTTTTATTTTGTTGTTTGTTCTTTTAGTTTATTTGTTAAAATTTATTTGCATTAATGTTTCTGTATCATGTTGTGAGCCCTTTTTTGTTTGTGCCACTTGTCACTCACAGCGTATATACGACGCAATCGCTCTGTTGGATCGTTATTCAAAATTCAAATTCAAATATCAACTTTAAATGCTTTCGAAGTCATCATTTAAACATTCTAATAGGATTAGTATCCTATGATGATAGCATTTTACCATCATTAAGTCGATGAAAAGCTTTCAAAATCTTTGCGATACATTTGAAAATTTACAAATCAGCTAATACATTTAATGATGAACAGTGCAGCAAACAGATTGAGCCGAGCGAAAGAGAGAAGGAGAAAAAGAGTAAAAAAATGTATAAATATATATATAATTTATATAAGAAGCGTGAACATATTTAAGTATTTGTGAAATTAAATTAATGGGTGCGTGGCGCGCGAATAATTACATTCGTAACAATTTGATGTGATCGTCATATTATAAAGTTGGAAAGTTCCGTCGATTATTATTAGCTCATAATTAAAATCTGTCCTCAATCACACGGCCACGGTGCCTATGGAAAAACAAAGTGAAAAGAACAGAGTAAATAACAAATCCGCGTTAAAGATAGATAATTTCATAAGAGCGTAGCAGCAGGACAGTAAGCTTAGACGGGTAGGCAGGCAGGCAAAATGGCAAACGCAAGCATACGTACGGCCGCACATGAAGAGGGATACATTGGAAAATTAAGTGGAAACGGTAAAACAAGACAACATCAAACAAGAATGAAGAAGAGAAATGGTGTGGCATGGATTGAAAATGGAGCGTGCAAAGAAGGTAGAGTAACTGCATACTATGATGGCGATGATGATAATGATGGGCTAGACTCTAGAGAAGAAACGGAAAAAACAGCCACTTCTCATCGTTGTCTATTGCGTTACTTATTCATCAACGATTGTATTTCATTGTATGTACAGGCACCACTCAGAGCTGTCTCTCCTTCTGTCTCTCTCCCACCTTCTACCTCACTCTTTTGGTCTATTTTTCTCTTATAAAAGTGTGCACTCATAATATGTCTCCACCATAAATATGCATGGATATGTTGGCATTGGTGTTACATTGAAAAACATTGAAAATCCGGCATTCGGGTTATGAACTTATTTTTTAATTATATTTTCGCGAAATTCTCGACGGAGACCGAGAATAAACGGCAGCTAGAAAACGGGACACACAACAAAGTGCATGTAATTCTAGCACACACGTACGCACACACCAAATTCAATTATATTCACAAATTCAATAACTATATAAACCAAGGTCAATTAAGGTTGCGTGGCGTACAACATTTTCTATTTTTCTGGAAATTAAATTGGTAACCAACCAGCCTACATGCCATTCATAACCAATTAAGATTTTACATATACTCACCCCCTCCTACACACTCACACACACACACACACCGCATTTTTCACGTCATTTCGTAAATCTTTCCGTACACCATTTGCAAGATCCCACTATGGTTTTTGTTACATGGATGGGCTAAAAATCTATGCTTTTTAAGGCATTGTCATCATACTATTTTATATTTAATATAAAGAAGCATTGTAACTGGATTCTTATGAAATTTGAGTTTTTCCAAGAAACACGTTATGCTTCTTTTTCCCTTCCCTTAAATTTCATACCCTTATGGCATGGCCAATTTCGTCATACTTTCCACGCAATTTTCAAACGATTTTTTTACGAGTTTATAATTTTTGTAAATGAATTCCATCAAATCTATGAAACACTTGCACGAAATGCGCATAGACTATTTGTATTCTGAAGCATGCCAGCACAAATTGACTAACTAACAGCACATGGCCAACAAAATGTGAACAGTATGGTTTTTCGACGCAATTTAATTGCGAATATTAATATTAAATTAAGACATTTCTGCAAAAAGTCAAATAAACTTTTTGTGTACCTAATGGCTCCGAAAATGAAAACACCGGACTAGAGAGTAATTCTTTAAGCAGAGAAATGGAGAGTGAGGGAAGTAAAAAAAGTGAATTTCAAATCATATTGGCAGGTATTCACATTGACGGCAGACACAAAACTCAAACACTTTTCTTTTTTTTTGCTCAATTTCGTCTCGTCCTTTAACTTAAAAATTGGTTGTATTCATGAATTGTACACACTTCACCTTAATTTACCGTTAAATGTGTGCTATGTGTGTTTGTGTAATTTTTTTTTCAAATTGATTTTCTTTGCTACAAAGGCATCATGACTGATTAAGAAAAATTGATCAGACCGGTGGGATAAGTGAATGGATAGAGATGCCAACCATTCTCTTTACCCTCAAAACAACAACCAAGAAAAAACAATTTGAGCTGGGCTAATGAACGTAAAACGGGTCCAATTTCTTTAATGACAAAATCACACGAACCAAAAACTTTCTCATTCAAAATTTTCCAATGGTTACACGGTTCAAAAATAAACGCTTTACCAATGGTATGATGTGTATGTGTGTGTGTTTTTGTGTTGTGTTGTGTATGCAAGAATAAGAACAAGAAAAGAGAAAGTGAGATTCGTCAAATAGAGGCCTGTCAATCAACTCGGCTGTTTCCTTTGATCCGACGGCTAGAAAATTATTAACAATATATTATTATTTATTCCTTTGAATTTGTGCAGTTCCTTTTGTGTGCGTTTGGGTCTTGAATTTGTTGTTGTTGTTATTTCTGTTTTAAAGAAAAATCTGATTTGTATGCAGAGAGCTTGAGTTGACCTCATGAACGGAAAGTGATAGAATCGTGCCCAATCTATGGGTATCCTTTCGATGCTAATACTTGCACATTACACACACTGTTCATATATTGTAAGTTGGTTTATGATTCGAAATTAAGGAATTCATTTTTCATAGAAATGTCGATCAAATACATTTTCAATGGGTCTGTGTGATCAATATCTATACGTACAAAATAGAACGGCACCGAACCGCACGGTTGTTGTGTGTAATATGAACAACATACATGCTTACATATATGGAATACACAACTATTTCTACTGTTTGTTTATGGCCAAAGTATAATTTTGTCATAAAATTTCGTCAAAATTCGTCATAAAGATTAATTTAAATTCAACGTAAAATGGGGAAAAAGTAAAAAAGCACACATAGATATACAGGCCATAGACAGAAAATATTGATCGATATTTTTCATCGAAAATGAATTGTTTGCTAGAAATTATACTGTATTTTATTATTAAACAAGAGCAAAGTACTCTATCGTCTATTGCAAACGGACGTAATTGAAAATCGAGACTTGTAACAATATATGGCCTGAAGCGAATCAATTTCGTTGGTTCATTTTCAGTTACAATTCATTTCGAATTAAGAATTCCTATTAGTCAATTTCATTTTCAGTGTTAGCCAGCTCATTCATTCAATCTCTGTTGCTCTCACTTTCGCATAAAATGTTGACCAGAAATAGAGAGAGAAAAAGAGAGAGAGAGAGAGAGAGAGAGCAAAATCTCTCATTATCACAATGACAATAAACACCTACAGCAATGAACATCATCAAATCATATGAACAATAAACAACAGTCAGTTAATTAATTTCTTTTTGCTTTGGCCATTCTCTCTTTCTATCATCATGATTATAGATCATAATATCTTTTTAGCTGGAAAATAAACATACGAAAGACGAAGATGAAATAAAAGAAGCAGTGAAGTAATCGAGTGAAATTCTGTAAATAGATGAATATTTTGTGAATCAATTTTTTTCCATGGTATTTGCTTATTTCGTACGATGAAGTCGAAGACGAATTGCAAGTATGTAAGTATCTAGGCTCAATTGAAAATTCGTAGCATTTCGAAACAAAAATGAAAAATGTGCTCGTAACCTTATTTCTAAATGGATGCATTCATAGAATATAAGTCGGAAAATCTGAATGTAAACATGAAAAGCAACGACACGCACACATAGACACTATCCATACATAGTTCGCATTAGATTTTTTTTCTCTCTACAAATAAACTCAATTAGAAACGTTTACATCGGATGGAAAATCGGATTGTCACAGATGTGATGACACATACACATCATTCAAATTGAAATCGTATTTGATGAAGAAATGACACAGAAACTGATTTATTTCAATGTGATTGGCGCTTGTTCAGTGGAATTTTCACAGGATTTTCATAAATCGTCTTTTGTCACTTTTTTCATCCGATAATTTGAATGAACGAAAAATGACATGTTTTTATATTGATATCTCACTTGTGTTGTTCGGATTGATTAATCGAAAATATCAAGTAAATCACAACGATATTATTTGCATTTGATGTGTAATTTTATGCAAATTATATACAAAATAAATTGCTCTCAATTTAAAGAGAATCCATTTTTAGACTTGATTTTAGTTTTATGCATCATGAATATCAAATGAATTTTCATTCGCGAACGAAAATGCATTTGAAACAAATGAGAGTTGTGCATAAAATTAAGTTACATCGTGTTATTCGTTCAATACAACGTATAAACTTATGCAGTCACAAAACAGACAAATACCATTTTCCTGTTAAATAACAACACATAATAGCATATACACAATTTGTTTAGTTGTGAAAAGAGAGAGAGAGAGAGAGAGAAAGAAAAGGTAGTGCGGGCATTCAAACGATTTTTTTTCTTATTCTCACATGAAGCGAATTACAGTGCGCTGTCGGCGATAACATCGGCCATGCATTTCGTTTTTTTTTTTCTTTTTGTTTATTTATTGGTGTGTGTCCAATTCGCCAAGAAGCTGTTTGTGTACCATACGTGGCGACTACGATGTGAATAAATGGCAATAAATAAAAATGCCAGAAAGAAGAAGAAATGTGTTACCGGTCTGGTGAATCTAATTAACAGTTAACCAGCGGTGAATTTAAATTTATAAATATCTATTATAATTACTGACTAATTTCATTCACACAAAACAAAATACGGTTTGAATGCGATTATCCATCGAAAAGTCACAATATCTTTCAATGATTCAACGATGAATCGTTAGCGAGAACAAAACACTGATTACTGAACGAATGATTGGAGGCCAGAGAAAAAGTACATACAAATTGTAGTCATTAGTAAACATCGCATTTAAATTGATAATAAGATGCAGACTTCAATTGTCTTTCATGTATTCATTTGAACTTGGTTCCATCATACATATTGTAAATTCAATTGTCATTTCACTCCACAGGCAATCTCTTCGTCTCTTTTCATCGCCTTCCTCACTTTACTATGCATCATTTTGTTTTAATCATTCGTGTCAACGAGTGTCTCAACAATTGTAATCGAAACTGGATGAATCACACATAATAAAAAAAAATACACACACTTTTTTTTCGATATGTAACGCAATGTTGTCCATGAAATATAAGAGATGATAAATCAAACTTGAAACTCAATGAAAATGGCGGTTTTTTCTTCTTGCTAAACTTATAATTGGCACCGCAGTAATAATCAATCAATCATCATGCAGGCCACATACAATCATTTTCAACCACGTTCATGGACAAAATCAAAAAATGGAGAAAAATGAAACAAATCAAAAACT